TTGCAAAATACACGAAACAAAACAATGAATGCGGGAGTATTCTCTTGTCTCGAATGTGCCTTTGTGTTAAGTAAATAGTGAGTTTTTAACAAGATTGTGTGACAGCTTTCCACTCAGAGATTTCGATAAAGTTCTATCGATAGATAGATAGTCATCTCGTTTGAGCATTACAAATTATGTCATAATCAAGGTAATCTAAGGCCTTGTTTATAAATTATTTGGTAGAGTTTGCTTATATCTGAAGTGATTCTAACCATTGATTATATTTGCTTGACCCTCTATGTACAGTAGGAATTCATTGTACCTTGGCTTTTTTGTCAGCTATCAAGCAAATTCAATCATATTGGAGACCCACAGAAATGAATTACGTTAGAAATTACTTATTTTTATTTAAATTAGAAATCAGGCTGGTTATTTGAATGAGTCGAAGTTGACTTGAAATATTAAGCATATTTTTGATCAGGATGACGATTATATACATACATCTTTCCCTTGATGAAAATTATGCTATTTCCTTTCACATCTTTATATTGAAATACTTATCGAACTCTGTTGGTTCAAGTTTCCCAAGATTCCTTAAAATCTCTGCACAGCCTTTTCAAATCGAGCTGTTGGACATAACAGCTATTTAAGCATGACCATGTCCATTACTTGAATTGCTCCACCCGCAAAGTTGGCTTGCGAAAGCAATTAAATTAGATTATTTAGTCGTGTTGCTGGTTAGCTGAGCAGGAGCCCGGCTACAAAATGCCCCCAAATATGCATTAATTGCCATTCGATGGCTGCGTCGCTGCCGTCGCTGCCGCCTCTACCGCCGCTGCCGCCTCTGCTGCTGCTGCTTGGGTCAATGGCATCGACAGCTGTCGCTCAATTGTTGTTGCTCCTCTTGGACTGGGGCGCGTGCCAGGCCCCCATTGTTTAGCCAGTGGCTGGCCGAGCTATAAAACGTCGAGCGTCTGCTTGGGGACAACAACTGAGAGAGCAGCCACGAAGCACGCCACAACATGCAGTTGACCACGCTAATTGGTAGGTGTTTCTCTGCTCTGGGAATATGCTTAGACTGACCACTTGCTCTACTTGCTCCACTTGCTCCTTGCAGTACTTGCGCTGCAGCTGATGCGACCAGCGATTGCCTCGACAACTCGCGCGCCCAATCCCCTCACGCAGCCCACAATGGGACCCGTGTGTCTCCAGCCGCCGGTGTGCATGGCGCGCAGTCCTCGGGTTTGCGGCCGGCTGCCCAATGGCCTGTGTCGCCGCTTCAGGAACATCTGCGAGCTGATCGCCGTGAATCGCCGGGATGTGAGCGCCGACAGGAGACTGACCTGGACGCATACGCAGGAGCGGGACTGCCGGCTGGTGCGCCGAGTGGGCGCCGGCAATGCGAACTGGTGCCAGCAGGACTGTCCCCGGCGCGCCGTCCCCTGCCGACGCACGCCGCGTGCCCAGGAGATTTGCGTGCGCTCACGCAACCTGAGGTCCTGCCGGGTCCTGGCCAACCGCTGCCAGCTACTGAACCTCAACTGCTTCGGCCGTCCACGCAACAGTGAGTGATGCCTAGGTCCTCTTGGAGCATTTCAACTAAACTCCCTCTCTCTCTCTCTCTCTCTCTCTCTCTCTGTCTCTCTGCTTAGATTGGCTGCCGGCGCCGAGACGCCTTTGCGGCCAGCTGCGTGCGGGCGATAGACCACGCGCCTGCCAGCTTCGGTTGCCCTCCCGGAGGCCCGATGTGACCATTAGTCCACCCGTGCTGCCACGCCCACCAACCAGCGAGCTGCCTCCGACGACGACGACCAGCCAGCCTGCTGCCACATCTGGCTAAGACACGGGCTCGCAGCTCCCATCTGCATCTCAATCTCCTTCTCGCTCTTCTTCTTTTCTGTTCGGTCTTCTCTTTCGCTCACAATAAATCGAACTACTTTAACATTGACTTGCAACTTTAACTGTATAATTGCAGGCAGGAGCAGCGAAAGCAGTGCTGCCACGCCCACATGTTTCCAGCTGGCTGCCTTTTTCGGTGGAAATTATTTTATTGAACGCAATTGTTTTTAGCTTTGGCTCGTTTGTTATTTCGCGGCGGCAAATTACTTTTTATGGCCGCCCAAGCGGCGTTTGTCGGGTTTACGTTACGTTAACGGTGAATGCCGTTCGCATTGCTGCCACAGTGGCTGCCTGCCGTTGCCTGGCGTTGCCTTTGCTGCTGCGGCGGCTGTTTTCCAAATTTAATGGCTTAGAAAGCCATTTGCATTTTTTCGGTTGCCCAACTTTGTTGAACATTATTGACGCCGTATGTTGGTGCCGCTAATTAGCGTTAGCAGCACCACCAACACCACCACCACCACTAGCACCACTGCTGACAAACAAATATTGTGGCTGTATTAAATTATGCAATCGACTACAAAAATTAAATAAACAAAATTCACTAAAAAACGAAAATCTTTAAGAAAATGCATTTTATTCTCATGTATATTTATGTATTTACTGTATATATATTTACTCAAGTGCGAAGTTGCGCAAAGCAAAGAGTTGCTCGGTGTTTGGTGTATTTTAAGTTTCGCCCGAAAGTATGCAATGAAGTTTCGCCAGCCGGAAATTGAAGCCCGCTGCTGCGGCTGCCATATTGGAAGCACGTCGAATTCCATTGCATACTTTTGAGCGCGCTGGAAATTCAATAAACTAATAAGTAAATTTGCCGAACGCATAAAGAACTAGTTTTAATTGGATCTTATGTGTGGTTGCCCCACGCAGATATGCAAATGTCCGATATAAATATATTGGCTTATGCAAGGCAATGTTTGCTGCTGCTGCTCTACCTCCTGCACCTCCTGCCTCTACAAGCTTGACATTCCTAGTAGAGCATATTAAATTTTACCCACCTGCACACACACACCCCCACACACACACACACACACACACATATATATATGTACATGCACAATATTTGCATATTGAAATTTTCTTGGCTTTTTAGTCAGCCGAGCCACGTGGCTGGCACACATATTAATCGCCGTTGCTGCTGTCGAGCAGCCAACAGTTGATTGTCACAACGTTAGTTGGGCCGTTGGCTGTGGGGCGTGGCACTGGCATGACAATAAGTACGTACACTGTTGCCAGGACAGGCCACAGGCGGCGGCAGCACATTGTTGTGAAGTGCAATAAATTTGCATGCTATTATTTTGGTGTCTGTTGACGTTGAAGTTGACGTTGACGTTGACGTTCAAGTTAAAGTTAACGTTCACGTTCACCCTCACGTTGACATTGCCTTTTTGTTTGCCTTTCTTTGCCCCACTTGAGGGCATTCTTCAGCTGCGTATATTAGCTCCTGCTCAACTCCACTGACTGCCTACAGTCAGCCTGTGTCCTGGCCACTTGGCGTATACGCAATTTGCCATTTTTCAGCCGCTTACCTGCGTTAGTTTGCCATTGACAATGCTGAGCGACTCGAGGCTGCCGCGCACATTGCGCAAACTGTTCTCCTTGAGCGCCTCCAGGTGCGAGTGCGAGAACTGCAAATGGCGTATGTGGACGCCCGGCTGGATGACGTCCTGCGAGAGCGATGTCACCGACCGATCAAAGTCGTAGATGGAGAGCGAGTGTATCGGCGCCGAGATGCGCTCCAGCGTCGAGCGCAGCGACAGCGCCGTCGTCCCGGGGCACTCCAGAAAGAGACCTGCAAATAGCCACACAGCTCAATCATTAATCATCGACAAACAACAGCCGGCCCAATGCGTATTATCATTGCCATTAGCATTAGTAATTGCGCTCGCACTCAACTGGCGCAATCAGTCGAGCCGAAGCGAGTGCTCTCCTGGCTCTTGACTGTGTCTCAAGTTGCCCGATGCGTGTGCCCCAAGCGAACGTTGGCCCTTGATTAGGCCCGATAGAGATGAGAGAATAATCAGCTTACCTAACGCTGAAAATTCTCGGGAAATTCGCTGCCAATAACAATGGATTATTCTAATTTTCCCTTTCTTGGCAAACAAAAGCAGAGGCTGCTTTTTGAAGCCCTATTAAGACGCGAATAAATATTTCATAATTGAGCTAAATAATTTTATTCAGGATCTGCTAAAGAATAGTTCTGAATCAAAAGTAAAAATTTTCTTATTGAAATGAAACCCTCAAGAAATAAAATTAATTAAACAAATATAGAAAAAAGAAACAGCTAAAAGTCATAAATTGAATCGACTTTTGTGAATATCTAAGAAATGAATTTTCGCTTTTGGCTAAGCCAAATGCCATTTGGATGCAGAAGCTCCCAAGCAGCTGCATTAATCGCGAAAATTCCATTAAAAATGCAATTATTGCAAATTGGATTGAATAGTTTTTTCAATTAATAGAAAATACGTATAGCTGGCGGATTTCTCATCTTGCTAATTAGCGGAAGCGCAGATCAAAGCAAACGGATTGCTAAATTGAATATTGAGCAAAGCTAATCGGGTGTCGTTGACTAGCAGATACCCTGGGAAATTAAAAAAAAAATAAATAAATAAATAATAAATGGGAAATCAGAATTTATGTAAGATGGAAGGGGTATGTAAAAATTGAAGCAATGAATATCTAGAGAAAATCATTGAAGTATATAGAGAGAGACAACAGCTCATATAAGTATAGCCTTAAGAGGTTGAGAAATGGCATGATCTGCATCTTCGATTGGTTGGCCATATGCAAAATTGTAGTACGCTCGTTGATCTACTTTTCGAGATCAACACATTTCGATATGAAACCAGAAGGACAAACAGCAAGGCGAATATTACGAATAGACTAATGAAATTTTTGTTTGCCAGTTCAACAAGAGATAACTTTGTATTCTATGTTTACGAAAAACTCGGTAGCTTTTTCTTAAATATCATAAAGCCACGCCTAGTACAGCTATATAACAATAGCTTATTTAATGTGTCTACTTCCAAGAAACATATGCATATCTGTGTATATCTGTGTGATCTATCTATGATCTGTATATTAAGCGTATATGGATTACGCTCACTTTTCTAGTGGATTTCCTCGAAAGTACTACAAATTTGCTGGCATACCGAGTATTTTTATGATTTAATGTGATTTAATATATATTAAGAAAATATACATAAAAATATATCAGAGTACATAAGAACTTGTACTCTAATTGTACAACTAATGGCCAGATTTAGCTAGCAAAACGGCTAATAACTATATGATATTATATGATACTATATGATATTATATGCTCTCTCTAGCGGCATTTTACCTTGACAAGAACTAGAAACTACAACTTTAAAGACTCTATTGAAAATTATTCTTTGCTGCTTGAAATTGGGGGCCTAATAAAGAGGGAATATTATTTATTGAAAATCTGGTAAGGTATCAGAGTTATCATGGATATATAGGCATATATAGGTATATATATGTAGGTATATATAGGCATATATATGCAGGTATATATAGGTATATATATGTAGGTATATATAGATATATATATAGGTCTATATAGGTATATATGTATATAGGTATAGATATACATATATTGTATGGCTCCCACCTTTGAAAGTCCTGAGTATTGCATGGTTTTTGGGCTGCGATCAATCAACTAAAGTATTTCTACACATTATCTAGTCGCATGTCAATACGGGAATCCCAAGAATTTAATTTGATCTTGTGAAACCTATATCTATCATAAATGTTATATTCATGTCTTTTATGCTTGTCCTCTACATATAAAATCTGTAATTATTTGCCTCAATTTAGTCTTTGGAATTTCTCTTTAATGCGCTGAGCAGCTCTGTCCGAGTAAACGTAACTGAATCTGTTCAGCTCCCCTAATTTGGGGCTGATCTACTGACCACACTCGACTTAATTGACTTGATGGCTGTGAGTGCAGGGCATATTCGCATCGCCATCGCCATCGCATCGCATTCAAGTGCACTTGGCTGGCAAGTGGAGTGGTGCCTGGTGTCTAGCCTCAAATGCTGGTGTCTCTGGTGTCAAAGTAAACAATCTTTGCATGCGCACACACACACACACACATGCATGCATATATGAAGAGATTTGTTATTGGGCCTGTTCGCACGTTTTTGGGTGCAATAAACTTAGCCATGCTCGAGCTTTGATGCGTTTAATTAGTTCGGTGGTCCGTTTGCACTTACCATCTTCAAACTTGTAGCAGGGACAGGCGGAGCTATCGTCGAAGCTGGGGCACTCGATGCCCGCTGCACCACCGCCTGCACCACCGTTGCCCGCTGCTGCTGCTGCTGCTGCTGCTGCCGCTGCTGCGCCGCTGTTCAGCTCATAGTGCAGCTCACGTGCGCTGCTCTTGCCGATGCCGCTGCCGACGCCGCTGCTCAGACTGCTGTGACCGCTGCTCAGCGAGCGGGCTGCTCGCTGGGCAATTGTTGCTGTTGTTGTTGGAGATGTTGCTGCTGGTTTGCTAGTTGTCGTTGTTAGTGTTGTTGTTGGTGTTGTTGTTGTTGTTGCCGCTGCTGCTGCAGTCGTGGCCAGCATTAACCACAGGACAAGCGAGGAGCAACCAAGCTGATGTTGCTTGAATTGCTGTCTCGACTGCTGCTGCTGCTGCTGCTGCCGCTGCTGCACTTTGGCAACATTATTGCAATTTGGGCGACGCTGTTTTCGGTCTCGTCCGAATTCGTGTTCCTGCTCATGTTCCTTGTCCTCAGCAATTGTCCTTGTTGCCATTTGCTTTATTTGATGTCCTTGTTCCTGACGTTGTTGATGTTGCCGCTGATTATGTTCCTCCTGCTGGTGCTGCTGGTGCTGCTCCTGCTGGTGCTGCATGTTTTGGTGCTCTACTCTTTGCTTATGTGGCTCTGTCTCTCCCTCTGACACTTGCAGGCGCCTCGGCTGACAATTGCTAGCGTCGATGCTGCCGCCGCTGGGAGCATTTGTTGACTTTCTGCATTTTGCTAATAAGTTTGTGAGCGTTGCATTTGCACTGGGACTGCTGCCCTTGCACATTTTGCTATTCGATTTAAAAGACAGCCTGTCCGACTGCCCCTCCGTCCCTCTCTCTCTCTCGCTGTCAGTCTGTCGCCTTAAACCGATTTCTCACCCGATTGCTTTCATCAACGCTGCTTTTTCCATTCAATTCTCAACTACTCTCTGGGGCTGCAGTTGTTGTTGTAGTTCTTCTCCTTTTTTATTCAAGCTCGTGCCATCTGCAAGTGAGAGCAAAGCAAAGAGGTTTATAATTAAGTTGGAGTATTTAAGAGTAAACGACATTAGATTGAACAAGAAAACTGTGTTAAGTAAACTTCAGTTGGATATGAAAATATACATAGAGATAGAGATGGAGAAAAAAAAGCATAGATATAGATAGTTGTACATATTGTTGGAAATTTCTGCTCAATTAAGACTTGATTCGAGTCCTTTAAAGCCTTCGCAGCTGGACAAAGGAAACTTGCTGAAGTTTCGCACTTTTGCCGTGTCAAGTTTCATTCAATTGGAAAATTCTTGAGATTTTCGCCTGAGGCTTCGGGCTAAAGCAAATGGCCAATTCGGTTAGGACAAGCCTTTTGCTGGCCAACCAGTGGGTCAACCAGTGGGCCAGCCATTGCACTGTATTGCCTGCATATTCTCACTTAATGCAGTTGGAATTAGTTTTCGACTTAATTGCGTGCCGATTCGCCCTTTGCTTCTTGGGTTAGCGTTTTGGGGCTAACAGCATTTTGTCATTTGCGCGCACTTCCGCTTTGGTGGTCGCCATTTTGTCGTGCCACTCAGCCACAGCCACTCAGTGGCTCGGTCCCTTTGCCCGCCCACTTCGGCTGGGGCTCTTAGCACCAGTTCAGCATTATTATGAATTATTTTCTTGGACATTTTCTGCCACGTTTTTTGTTTCTCTCTCTCTCTTTCTCTCTCTGCACTTTTTGCCTCCCTTTCCTTTTCCTTTTTATATTGTTTTTTTTTTCGTTTTTTTGATTTGTGTTTTCTGTTGTTTTAGTTTTTTTTTTTTTTTTTTTTTTTTTTTTTTTTTTTTTTTTTTTTTT